TGAAAACCTGTGAGAAAAATCATGTCCTCAACTTTAGCTATTATTTATGCAATTAACTTCAAAACTAAAAAAATAATGACTTGTCTGTGTTGCTGCTAAGTGCCGTGGAGTTGGTTCCAACTCATAGGTACCCTGTATAGGGGTTCTGAGGAGTGGCTGATGAGTTTGAACCGCCGATCTTGTGGTTCAAAGCCACCTTGCGTCCAGTGTTTATCCTACAGAACTTGATTTAACCAACAGGGCGTTACGAATACCTGTCAGAGGAAATTCCTTGATCATGAAGGTGGTTTTCTCAGGATGAGGCTTACCCACTGCTAACCCTTGTAATTATTTGTGGTAGAGAAAGACTATGTTCACTCTTTCCCTTGGTCTTTCACGTGTTGAAGAGCAGATGGTGTAAAATAGTGCTCGGTTGGGTGTATGATATTCTGTTGGTGGTATAGAGCATTATGAGCTGGGCTGCTAACCACAAGGTCAGCAGTTTGAATCTATGTGTCACTCAGTGAGAAAAAGATGAGGCTTTCTGCTCCCATAAAGATATACAGCCTCAAGAAACTCCATATAGAGTCAGTCTCTAGGAATGGGAACTGACACCACGGCACACAACCACTGCCAACAGGGAGGTATGAAGTAGCCTGCCCTTAACCTCTCGTGATTGATTATTCATGGTCCTCAGTGGTTTCCCCGGGTGGCCTGGATGCTAGTTTGGGAGATTCTGTACCACTTGGCTTACTTACTCACTTTGCCACATCTGATGCAGTGCAGTAAAGCAAGACTTCCTACCTGCTGCTCCCCGCTACCTTTGTAGAAAGCAAAAAGAGGGTGAGACTTGATTAGACCGCAGATATATGCACAAAGGAACCCTGGTAGCTTAGTGGGTTACACATTGGACTGCTAACCATAGTGTCAGCAGTTCAAATTCACCAGCCACCCCACAGGAGAAAAATTAGGCTTTTTACTCCCATAAAGGAACCGACTTGACAGGACTCAAAGTATCACCCCACATTCCTCTGTGGCATCCTGGTGTGGTGCTGTGGGTTCGTGCGCTGCACTGCCAAGTCAGTTTGAACTGCCATGTTGGCAGCTGCTCCTCTAAAACCCTATACAGGGTCATTATGGGTCGGAACCGACTTGATGGCACTTAACAACAACAACAACATGCAAATGTAACAGAGTGCATCAGTATACTTTCTGTAAGGCCATTTTTTGGATCAAATTGGTGTGATAGAAGCAGAACACCCTTTGTTGAGCTTCAATAATGATACAAATTCATGATGTGTAGCACATTAGTGAATGAGAAGTAAATAGAGCCTTAAGGTTCCTGGGATCTGTACCTGGACCAAGAGGCAGTTGTTCAAACAGAACATGGAAACACTGAATGGTTTAAAATTAGGAAAAGTGGGCAACAGGGTTGTATTCTTTCACCATACTTATTCAACCTGTATGCTGAGCAAATAATCT